AGACAGAGCGGGCTCGGACAGCACTCCCCCCTCGCCGACCTGCTCCACCGAGCTCAGAGTCATCACAGAGCGACCCGAACCAGGCGCAGTCGAGCGATCCAGGAAGCACGGGAAGCAGAGATAAACCCCCCACAGTGGAAGTTGGTTTCACAATCAAAAGCGTCCGTTTTCATGACAAATACGGCAGAAGATAAAGGCTAAATAACACAACAGGATTCATCGCAGCAGTGCAGCACTGTTTATGCAGTAGCGATCCATGATCACGGCAGCCCTGACTTCTATTAACGCAAACAGCTGTAAAAAGGGCTTCAGCAAAGCAAGCCAGAGGAGATACGAGGGCTGTCCAGTGCAGACAGGGAACTGGTCCCGACCTTTGACCAGGCCTTCGTGTGTGTGTGTGTGTGTGTGTGTGTGTGTGTGTGTGTGTGTGTGTGTTACTGTACCTGTGAGGACGTTAAGCAGGTGATGGGAGGATCAGGGAGGCTGTTTTTTTAGAAACCAAAAGGCATGTTCCTCAAACTCCCGAGGGGCCCAGACTGCTTGCAAGAGCGGTGCTTGGGGCTCGGTGCGCACGAGAATGAGGAGCGAGGTGGGGCGGGGGGGCAGAGCTGGCGATGAAAGGCAAGGCAGCGCCCCGGGTGAGAACAGACGCAGGGGCATCGCGGCAAGACTCACGCCCTGAGCCCTGAGCCCTGAGCCCTGAGCCCTGAAACAGACGGGTGTACTACGGGACCCCGCCTCTCTTTCACACTCCCTGTGGCGTTCAGGAAGAAGCCAGTTTCAACTAAAAAGAGTCAGACGTGTCTGCCGGCGTGGCACGAGAGTTCTCCTGAAGATACGACTGTGTTGCCCGCGCTCCTGACGGAGGGGCTGGGTTTAGAAGGAGCTTGGCCTGTGTGATGTACCCGATCAAGGGATCCAGTGGATTAGAGGGGCCAAGATTCTCCCCCTCGCGGCGTTCACTGCGTGCCGAAAAGAAAGCGCTCTCTTGTGAAAGGGCGCCAGGGCCAGGGGACTGGAGAAGTCATCGGACCGCGAGAGAAACCCTCTTCCTCGCGGGTTCTGGTCTTCCTTTCAGAAAAAGCTCAATTCCACAGGACAGCGCCACAAGACGCACGGCGCTGCCATTAAAACAGTGCGTTTTCTCCGCTTCCATTAAAAGCGCACTACACCGCTATTAAAACACAGCACGCTGCCTGTCCCCATTAAACCTGCGCTCCGCGTCTCCCCATTACAGCAGCGCACAGAGGAGAGGGACTGGGGGCCATCTCCTTCCATTATGGAAACTAGGTCGGCCGGAGGAGGAGGAGGAGGAGGAGGTGTGTGCGTCCGCGCGTGTGTGTGTGTGTGTGTGGGGGGGGTGCAGTAATTATTTTTATCGTTATTAATTTCCACCTCAAGGTTGTGCTCGAGCCTTTGTGTGCCTCAATCTGCCCGCGCCGAGGCCGCGTGCCAAGCCAGGCGGAACGCAGGCCGAGACAAAGAGGGAGCCGAGAGGGGAGGTGGGGGTGGGGGGCTGTCGGCTCATCACTCACGGGCTCCTAATTTGGGCTTGCGGGCTGCCGACGAGGGGGAGCGCCGCGGGGGAGCCAGGGGCTGCTCGCGCCCCCGTCAGGCAGGTGAAGCCCCCCTGTTCGGGCCTGCCGGGGACCCCCAGAGGGGGGGAGTCACCAGCAACGGAACGCGAAGCGCGCCAGACCCACCTGGAGCAGGTCGTCTCCAGAACCCACGCTGGCGTTTAAAACGCTGCCGATCTGTCGGTCCTCCTGCCAGGTGCCTTGAGCGAGCACGCGCCCGTGAAGGTGTCTGCGCGAAGCCGACCCGTTACCGACGGCGGCCGTGCTGACCGATCCAGACCCTTCGGTCCTTCTATCGCAGCTGCGCACCACAGACTCCGCACTAGAGCTTTCTGGAGCGGACTGGGAGTGGACACAGGCACGGCCTCGGAAAGACGCCAGCCGCTTTCCAGGAAGCGGGTGGGGGAGTCCGGCGCTAGACGGGCGGGACCGCGCAGGCCCGGCCCAGCGCGTCCTGCTGGGTCACCTGTCGTCTGCACCAGGGCCAGGAGCGCGGCGGGACAGCCGCCCCGGCCTCTCGCGCCAGCAGCGCACCAGGGCGCCGTGCCGGCGCAGACGAGCAGGAGGGCACCGCTGTGCCAGGGCTTTAATCTGGGCAAATTACCTGGAGGAGTAAATCCAACACAGGGGCACCAGTCAGCAGGCACCAGGCACTGCAGGTCCGCTCATCCAGTTGCATGATGGGACTCCCCCGGTTTAAAGTCACGTCAAAAAATGAGGTTAAGGGTCCCAGAAGGAGGGGGCAAGTGCATCTTCAAATAATAAGGTTCAGAAGTTTAGCAAAAGGGAACTATTTACATTTCAGCACACCACCACAAACCGCTGAGGCGGGTGGGGTCAGAGGATGCTCTTCAACAGGAAGAGAATCATTGTGGTCTCATCTCCCCAGCACCCCCAGGGCGGACTTGTCACCCCCGCAAAAAGAAAAGCACCACAGTGCGCGTCCCCCCTCCCCCCCCGGTCCAGGCCAGGAAAATCCCCACCATCCATCTGTTTCCAGGCTCCTCGATCCCCGAACGGGACAGGGGGCAAGAGAGCCAGAGGCTCAGACCACAGAGGAGAGGCTGAGCGACACACAGCAGCCAAAACAAAACTCCGGCTCTCCGGCCCTGGAGGCCTGGAAGAGGCTGTTGTTCAGATAGTCAGATCGGAGCCAGTGCACACGACTCTACAGGGGAAGCAGGGGCAGAAGGACATGAACAAGCTCAGTGGCAGTGTGGCAGTGTGCTCAGGACAGGAGATCAGGGGGCACGTCTCCGCTCAAGGCACAGTAACGGGTCTGGAAACAGAGCCTGCTGCTGGTTCTGAGCTCAACCAGCAAACCCGATCGACTTCGGCACTTTCAATTCTAAGACACGCCACAGCTATGGAGCTTCCCCGAGCCAGGTTACAGTTTTTACTTTCATTCGCCATCTATACCATCATCAGCACGCCTCATTTCATTTCTTACACGCTCCGTCACTCTGGTGCAGTGGGTCTCAGAGCTGAACCTGGGGAGGCTTTGGAGACCTAACAGCACGGGTGGCAAAAAGACTCCCATTGCAGAGCAGTCGGAGCCATTCCAGGTTTTACCCACTACCGGATCCTCAACATCAGCCAGCGCCAAGTGCGATGTATTTTCAGGTAATTTTGTTTGAATTTGAATGGGCACGTAGAGAGCTGAAGAACTGTACAGTTCGCACAAGAGGCTGGAGTTTCCGAAACGGTTCAATCCGCTGCACAGTCAGAGTCGGACTTCCATCCCAGTCGGCGCCGTGTCACTGCAGGCTAGAAAGGTCAAAGGGCAGAAGCAGCAAGCTGGAATCACACAAGCAGCTGAGCAAGGATACAGGAGCGGAGAGAGAGGAGAGAGGGGAGAGGAGAGAGGAGAGGAGAGAGGAGAGAGGGGAGAGGGGGCGATCAGCCGTCCTGCAGTCCTGTGGGCTGCAGCGCTGGGAGGACGTGAGAGATGAGGCTGTGCAGAGTCCACCGCTATCAGCAGGGACAGGGCGTCACTGAGTAGCCCCAGAGACCGGTGCAGCAGACACTGCCCCCGGTGATAACACTCGCACCGTGCAGGGGGGGG